GTTGTAAACCCCCCCCCGCCCCCCCCCCTCCTCCCATTAAGGAGTTTTTGTAATTTGACAAAAGAGGCTGCAAAAACAAACTCACAGAGCAGCAACACCTGCTGACCACCTTTTTCCTCCTCCTCGGACCTCTCTGTTCTCTTCTGGAGACACAAGTTTCTCACACACAAAGAGGGATGCTGCATGTTCCCGAGCCGCACTTGCACTCAGAGGGAACCTAAAAGTGGACCGGAGCGGGATTACACTTCATCTGATGCAAGGTATACACCGACACGTTATTTCACGGAGCGTCCTGGCGACTATTACGCACGGTTGCGCTTATTTCTGGAAGGGGCGGTTGAGCAGCACGCAGTGTCTTTACATCTGTGGTTGTTCCAGCACATTTACACACAGAAGAGCTATTCATTTTTTTTTTGTTTTAATCCTCCCTCTTATCAGCCCGCGCATCATTGTTTAGGAAGGTGTTGATTTCATTACACTGTTATCACAGTAACCTCCTTTGTCATTCTCCCCGCAGCGCACCAAAACGGACACTTTTAGTGACTGGAGGAGGATCAGCGCGCTTCATAAAATGATTCCAATCGGCGACGTGATAACATGTCGCATCTCGTCTGATGTTTGACACTTTTGAGGATCGACTAAAGAAACTGGAGGAGGACATTGCAAAGTCAGAGAATTCATCCCGAGCCCCGCTGGCACCTTTTTACTGGAGTCCGAACAACAGATCGCCGTCCAGATGCAGTTTCGACTCTTCTCATTTGCCCTGATCGTATTGAACTGTATGGAGTACAGCAACTGTCAGGCGCCGTCGCACCGCTGGAGGAGAAACAAAAGAGGTAACGCCGGGGTTGTAGCCTACAGGTCTTAGAGCAGCATCCAGGGAGTGACTTTAACAGACGGCTAGAGAGTTTTGTGGGTTAGCGGGAGGCAACAAGGTCCTTAACAAGGTTGCTCATACATTTCTGTTAAAGTCCGTGTCCCTCACAGTAGTGTGTTCTCTGTAGATTCCCACACAGCACAGTGTGCACAGAGCAGGCGGGAAGTCATAAAAGAAAAGACATTAAATATCGATAACTACTTCTGTTTGGGTTTTAAAACGCACAGGTGAGAACTGCCGATCCAAACATGCGTTGTAATTCAGGAACATTTCAGAAATTCACGCTAAAAGGAAAACTGCAGTCTAAGCCTCAATTCAGCCTTGCAGCATCTGATGTAACTCATTAACCTCTTGAAAGAAGGTTTTCAACATTATGTAAGGATTTCAGAGCCGGTAGCTGAGCGTAAAAATGTGCGCAAAATTGGCCACGCGTCTGGGCTGTCCAATATTAATATTAAACATGTTGCGTCAGTGAATTGGCTAATCGTATTAAAGCACGCTGTCAGACGGGCTATTAATGCCACTTCCCGATGTTGTGGCCCCAACAAAGAGCTCCCTATATTATTTACATGTGCTAAAAACAAAAAGCTGCTGGTGCGGATCGGTCTATAGAGAGCTGGTGGCTTATGGGAGAGGAGGGGGTTCGTATTGTGTGTTTTTTTCTTTAATGAATAGATACGGAATCCCCTTCCCCTGACTTATGAATTGCACATCTCCACTCCAGCCCCCTAAGCTGGTTTTAATTGATCTCATAACCACTTTGAACAGTTGGTAGGAAACCCGCAGAACAATCGCTCAGCGGAGGCGCAGGAGTTGAGGAGGGGATCAGCCCCTTTGTAAATACTACTCTATACTCTGAATGAATGAGGAGACAGTGGGATTAGGAAAGTGGCCCCCGCCGAGCCCTCCTTAGAAACTGTGACATAACACGTCGCCAAGATCCTCCTCAGGGTGACCACGAGAGGAGACTTGGTCAGATTTGCGCACGGGGGTGTGCATGCGTATAGCGGACATTTGGGCACCACTGAACAGTCCGCACAGTGTGGTACTACAGTAGAAAAAGTCATTTAAAGTCAGGAGAGAGGGGGGTCTTGTAAATTGTAAGGCAATCACAGATTTAATCATATGCGCTGCGTGCCAGGGGGAACCTCCACACTCTGCAAGCCCTCCTCTGCCCATCTGCAAATAATCAGGCAATCACTGCGGGGTACTGGCACACACACGTTTTTCAGCTCCTCTGTGTGTTTCTTTCTCGGAGGACTGTGTGATCTTAGATAGTATAGAGGAGAAAGAATGTCATTTTCTCAGTATGATCAATCTTTCTCTCTCTCTTTCTCTCTCTCTCTTAAATCTGCTTTTTTTTGGGATGGTCAAGCAGCAAATCCTGTCTTAACATTTGCCTTGAGGTGCCTCTTTATCTGTGCGGTGTGTGTAAGAGAAAGAGGGGAAGGGAGAGAAAGGGAGAGAAGGGGGTGATGGTAAGGGGGTGGGCTCACCAGTGGGGATGAGATCAAGAGGTTAACTTACACATTTGACCTCAAGAACAGCTTTAGGCTGAGAACTATAAGCTACACATTGTTACCGTCAGAACGGATGTTACACTTGTCAAACTAATCCCATGCAAATATGTACAGGTTTTACAATAATGCTGTGTGTGTATGTATGTGTGTGTGGGGGGGGGGGGACGGCACTTTGGGCCAAAAGTGCCATTCTAGTCAGTGGCGGCCTGCCAAGTTTTCGGTATTTGCTTCCTTCCTTTATTTATCACGGTTATATTGAAAGAAGCATGTGTAAGAGATCATCGTCCAATAGGCCCAGAAATGCTTGAATATTTTTCTAGCCCTCAAGGTTCCTGTGACAGCTTTATACACAGCCTGTCTGGCATGCACGGAGAGCTATCCAAACCGTTCAGGAGTGTTGAGACCCAGACACGTTCAAAAACTCAATTTGGCCACACTCCACTCCCCAGGCGCGACTGTTTTACGCAAAACAAAACACACAATTCAACAAATGTCCTTTTCATTTTGACATGCATGAAAAAAAGTTTTGCAGCCACATGACCCAGTGAGGTGTAAGGGATTGAGATGCCACGATAATTAGGGGATGTCAAGGAGAAAAACAGCCATTGCGTATGACTCGAGCCCGCTGAAATGTATGAGTGGAGTAAAGATTGGGATCTTTGTGTGGTTTCTGGGCTGATCTTGTCTTGCGCACTCACTGCATGGCATGACCCAACCTCCCATTTGGCTGTGGTAGTTGTGCATATACATTTTTCTTCATGTAAAACAGATGACAAAACATATTAAATTTACACCTCCTTACCCCCTATCCTGCCCACTAGAAGCAGGGAAATGATGCCAATGAGCCCTCCTATGATATCATAGCTAGACACAAGGGTATTACTTTTCATTTTTATTCTCTGGCTAATGATGCCACCTGCTGACTACATAAAATCAGGCTGGAGTACCAATGCAGCCTGGAGGAACAGAGACACACAGTGGGGCCCTGAGACGTTTAAACAGGTAATGAATAGGTAATAGCAGGCAAGAGTGGTGAAAAGCTGCCATGTGATACTGTTAACCCTTCCACGTCTACCCAGAAATCCCAAATTTGAATTCCCAGGAGGCCACAGCATGTTTCAGATCAAATTCAACTGTGTAATCCGTTACTTTAACGGCGTTCCCAGATGTTTTGAAGGACAAAAGTGATTAGAAGAAGGCAGCGCAGCCGAGCAGGGCGGAGGGAGTGAGGTCAGAGATGCATGACATTTTGTACCGCTGATGACAGTCAGCAAGGGTGTGTGTGGTGAGTTTTTGATGCCAAAATACACAGAAAAATAGTCATGATTTGTGGCTGAACATGCCCTTCTTTCAACAAAAAATCCCATAAAAAGTGTATGGAAACTTGATACGCTCAGGTATTAGACTCTTGTGACTTGACTTTGTGGTTTTAGTTTGTTGATAATCTAGCAAAAAAGAAGATGATTTGATAATTATTTTTAAGCCACATGCAGTTTTCCTTTTTAAAAATGATAGCTATCTTTGGATGCAGATGAGCAATTCAAACACAGTTGCCTCTCTTTCTAAGCCCCAGGAAATCAGGCCTCAGCGTGCTGAAAGCTCACACAAAGTCCCAGGTTTGTGGGTGTAAGTGTTAATGTTGGAACCCGGTACTTCAGTGCAATATAATACGTTGATTAAGTGCCTAACAGGGAGGAGAAGGAGGCTGCTTTTAAACCAGCCTTGCCACTCTTGCCTCTGGAAAAAGTGAAAAAGCCCCGCAGATGGCACGTCTGTTAACGAGGCTTTCTCACATGATGCCACTCTAATCCAGGTGATGTGAGCTTTGCATCCTGACTTTTTTTTTCTTATTCCACAAAACAGAAAGAGTTTGTTTATTTTATTCATGCCGAGGCACCGGATTTATCACTTAAAGGAAATTCTGAAATGTGATCTGAGGTTTGACAGTGCGGCGTGGCAGCAGCCCTTCCTCCTTCTCGTCGTTCCACCGAGATTGCGCTTGTTGGGGAGAGGTGGGGGCTTTTTAGGGGATGAGGAAGGCGAATTTAAGCAGATCAGCTGGAAACGGCTGAATGTGAACAGCATCACCTGAGAGGGATTACAGCGAGCCGAGTCTTGACCTGAGCTGGAGCTCCGGCGTCAAAGAACAGAGCTCTGTCTTTTCTCTCCCAGGCCCCATCAGCCAAGCCTCGATAAGTGTAAATCTGTGTGTGTGTGTGTGTCTGTGTGAGAGACAGAGAAAAAGAGTACAAGGAGATACACGGACACCCTGCAGGTGCATGTTCCTGATGCCCTAATCAAGACATCAAGTCCAGAACAGCACACACACCCCCAACTCCTCAACCAATCATGTCCACAGTCTGTCTCGGGGATTATCACAGCCATTAAGGACAATGATTCACTTATGTTCTGTATTGATAAATCACATTAGTCTGACCCAGCCTTCGAACTCTGTCGAAAGACTAGCTCCTTGTTTGACCTACTAACCCATGCATGTCGATCCTGGCCTGTAGCGCAGCTCCTGCTCCCAGTCACAGCGGTATCAGATGAAGCCGGTGAAAGGCTCCTCAGTGCGCTCATGCCATGCTACACTGCCGAAAACCCCAGCAAAGGGGAAAAACATGCAGTGGCATGAACTTTCTGCTGGAGAGAGAGGCACAGAGAGAGATTCTTTCAGGCACCACGTGACAAAGTGGGGATGATCCGTTTCACTTTGTCTTTGCTTCCCTGTAGGGAAAACCAAATTGAAAAATGTATTTAAGCCTAACGAATTAAAATCAGGGTAATGATCCTTTAGCCTGCGTTCGTGTATTAGGAGCTATGTGAGGCTGGAAGATGGGATTTGGGATTCAGATTCATCTGTCAACTCTTTGGGTGTTGCTCCATGTAAGAGTAGTATCCATTTCACATGGATGACAAAGCGTGTTTTGTAACACTTCTGCGCACTTCCATCTATCACATCACAGCGGAAAAACATTCATTGTGAGCAGATTTGGCCCCCCACTTTTCCTTTTTTATTTTTTTCTGGGGGGAATACACCAGGGGATCTTCTCTTTCACCCTCAATCATTGTCATCAGAGGATCCCATATGCTGGCAAAGCTAAATGCCAAACAGATGGTTTTATTTCAGGCTACATTTTACCACACTGTAAAAGTTCATTTTTTCGGAAATGTGAAATAAAATGAACTTATTATATGAAATGTTATAATACACCCCGTATTTCCTCATGGTGATTGGAAACTCCCGAGCAGCAGACAAAAACTGCAGTGTCCCTCCAGAGCGCGAGGGCTATTTTGTAACCCTCACCTATGCCCGTTCCCTCAATTGCTCACTCCCCCGAAGCAATTACACCTTAATACGTTTCCTTATAAAGCTACTAAATATGACCAGCCAATTTGGTCCGATTCTCTCAAGTTTATTGGGCTGTAAAAATTCTAA